GAGACGGGTCTGTACGGCACGGGAGGTTCTCAAGCGACATGCGAGGACATGGATGCGTGTGTTTGCCAGACGCAGGGCATGGCTCCGGGAGTTGAGTACGTGCAACTGAGTCAAGACGCGTAACAAAGGGTGATTTTCGGCGCCTATCAATGTCACATAGTATCCGTGGGTCTAGTTGATAAATGCTTCTTTGGACGGAAGTGGCACTGCGACATGCGCCGTATTTGAATGACAAGGTCTGGTGAAGAGCGGGGCACGCTTGGCTCGGAGAGCCGAAAGCTGAGGCAAGGTTTTTTCCTGGCGGCCTCCTCAAGGAACCTGCATCACGGCTGCCTTTACACCCGACTATCCCTTCGACCACTGCAAAGCAGCAGATTTGGCTTGCATCAGGCTGGCTGACGCTTTGTGGCGCCGGTCTATAACCTCAAGCCCTGTTGGAAACGGCGAAAAGCTGCTCCGATGTTCCCACGGTTGTTGCCTTCGTAAATCCAAATATGCGCCGAAGCTCCAGGTGTGGGTCGTTATCATCCCTGGTGGTACCATGCAGGGGCCGTGTCGTCTTTTGCTGCCGATTGAGGCCAGAAAGGGCTCTGGGCCAGTTCGTCTTCTGCCCCCATCTCGACAGGGTGGAGATGATCGCCTTTGAGCGTCACATTTGGAATGCTGATGTGCATGTCGGAATACGGCAGCCGTGGCTCCACAATTGAGAACAGTCGTATCGGCTGGTGCGTCTATCTTGACTCGTGTGAGGCATATCTCACACAGTACCCGGTTGCTTCTTCAACAATTGTTGCTCGAGCTACTTGCTACACCAACTGGCTAGGCTACGAGTGCTCCAACAACATGTGCCAACGTAGTCAATCAATTGTGTTAGTAGAGGAAAGCCTGCATCGTTTGGCGGCATATGCGCGTATAACTATGGCTCTCGCCATGTCTCAAAGTCTCAAACCTCTTGTGAATGAGGACCAAGAATCGCATCAGACCGTCGTCACACATGCCATAGCATCGCATCATCGCCTCATACACACAACTATTTCGAGCATCGACGCTCTTTGACACCTAGCAATGTCACTCAATCTTTCCTGGCCAGCCGCGACCATGCGCGCGGTTGTTTACCATGGCACGCCTTTCGAAATGATGGTTCAAGATGTCGCCAAGCCAGCCATCCTGAAAGAGACGGATGTCGTTGTGCGGGTGACCACCGCGGCCGTATGCGGATCCGACTTGCACATCT